TAATACCTAATATATTCTCCAGTTGATAAATATGTTTTATCTAATCCTCCTAAAAATCCTGAATGAGTTTTAATATCTAAGGTCCATCCTAATCCTTCTACAAATTCTTTATATGCTGGTGATCCTTCTTGATTCATAAGAATATCATATTGGTCATGTTGACCATTTTTAACATAAATAAGTCCAATTTTATGGAATGGTCTAACACATGACTTATCTAAATTTCCTAATAAAATCTTAAATTTTTCTGTTGGATTAATAGGAATTAATGAAATATTATTTTTTGGCATTGGATCAATAAATTGTGTTTGACATAATAAAGAATGAATCAACAATTTAGTATTATCAATTGGTTGATTATTAAGATTAATAACATTCTTATTTGGTGGAACCATATTCATTCCAAGTTCTTTAATTTGTTTCTCAACATTATCTACAGAATCTTTAACAAAACTTAAATCTTTGTCATAATCTGCTCGTTCTACTCCATCAGGCATTCCCCATTCTAATAAATCATTTTCTTCTTTAAGAATTTCATTTATCATATTTCTAAGTTTATTTTCTCCTTCATGAATTGTTCTTTCATTAACTATTTGTTTTGGAGCAGTTTGAACAATATCTTTTACTGTTAATCGTGTTTTTTGTTTTGTATTTTTAATACCTAATTCTTCAAGAAGAGAAATTGATTTTACTCCCCAAACTGTTTTACCAACAGCATTTCGTATAATTAAATTACAAAATTCTCCTTCAGAACCTTTTTCTATGGACAAAATATTATTTCCATATGCCCACCACGTTACTTCTCCTTCTTCAATATGAGTAGAGAAGAATTTATCACTTCCTTTTTCACTTGGAACAAATCCAAATGCATTTAATAATGTTTGCAAAAATACTTCTGCGCATTCTGGTGCACAAGCTCTATATTTAATATTAGGATCATTACTTTTAACAGAATATGGTAAAGACATTGAATATGAAATTGAATTTAACAAATTAACTGTAAGTTCTGGTGTTAATGCCTTAGGGAATATGCATGAAGGGGAGAATGCCCAATCTATTAATGATGTAAATATACAAGCAATTGCTTCAGTTTTTGATTGTGGATTTAATATAACTTCAATTAATTGTGATAAAAGATCTTGAACGTCAGAAATAGTGAAATATTCTGTAAATGATGCTAATTCACCAATAACTTCTGCTGCAGGTCTAAAAAGTTCTTCATTTTCATTTGAAATTCTTTCAATAATAGATGTAAGGATTGGACTAATAGAAATTTCCATACTTTTTCTTCTTGAAAATATAATATGAGTAGCCATTCCATATACCAAACTTACTTGTGACTTAATTGATGTAAAAACCTTTAAGAGATTTTCAAAACATTTTGTAATAGCATGTGAATAACTTCCTGTAAGAGATTCTTCTTTATTATATTTTGAAATATCTTGAAGTAATGTTGGATAATTTTCTTCTACTGTTACTAATGAATTTAATAATGCTATAATTTGAGCGTCTCGATTAACGTTATTTGTTTCTTGAAGTTGTTCTTTTTTTAATGATGATAATTGTTGAATAAATGGAATTAATAATGCAGGCCATCCTGGTATTTGATTATAAATAATATCATACAATTCTTCTAATATTATAGAAGGCATCATTGGTAAACCAATAGATATAGTTTCATAGAATAGACTATACAATTCATTTGTAAATCTTACATAATGTCTATTAACTAATCTACAAATAGCACGATAACATAATTGAAGAGAAAGTGATGTATGATTTCTTCTTTTAAAGGCATCAAAAAATATTTTTCCGAAATCGTCAACAAGGCAAATTCGTTTTAAGTTAATAGTTTCATAAAATTGATATACTTTAGTTTCTGCTCTTATGAATAAACAGAAAATCTCATATAATAACTTAATTCCATTTTCATAACTATCATCTTTAGGATGTTCATTAATATCTGATAATAAAGAATAAAAGTAATACCATAATTTTAATGCACTTTCTCCTCCAAGATTTGGAAAATGATAACTAAACCTATCATCTAATGAAGGAGCAACAAAAATCTCATCAGGAAAATCAAGATGAGTAGAACGTGCAACTTTCTTAGTACCAACTATTACCTCATCTGTATTTTCCAATAAAAGAGGAGAATAAAAATCTTTTAATACTAATCTTGTACAATGACGAAGTTTCAAAGCAATTTGATCCATAACAAAACTAACATTATAATGATTAGATAAACGAGTTCTAAGTTGAACCCAATCATCATTAGTTCTTTCCCATTTTATGTAAAGAATAAATATTAAATCAACAAATGAACCAATACTATTACCAAAATTAGTTTTTACTAAAATATCAATACAATTTAATACAGTTTCAATGATAATTTGTTTTATTTCATCATTAAGAGTAGTTGATGCTAATTTAATGATTTGATTTTTAATTTCTTCAATGAGGATCTTTGATACTGATTGATTTCCAATAACAAAAGGTTTATCAAATAATGTTGTAATACTTTCAATCAAATATCTTTGAAGTTTTGAAAGGACATCTTTTGGTTGAGAAGTAGATGAACTTAAAATAAAGAAGTCAGTGAAATATTGAATAGTAGCAATGATAACAGCATGAGTAGCATCTTCTGGAGTAATTTGTAAAACATAAATATAAAAATGTTTAATGAATAAAACAAATGCAGGACGTGTTTTTAGTCTTTCAGCAATAGGAGAAGACATTAAATCTTTAAAAGAATCAAGAACAAATTTATCGAGTGAAGCAGGAGGTAATTCATCTTTTTTACCGATATTAGGATGATTTAATTTATATTTATATTGAGCTTCTTCTGCAAAATTAGGATAAAGATATGATAACATTACTTCTACTAAAAAGAATAATTTATCAAAATGTGAAGGTACTTTAACAAGTTTAAGAAATGATGTAATTAACTTGACTGTCATTGAATATTGATCTATATCTGTTTCTGCTGGACAATATGAAGATTCAGCATAATCTAATTTAATTACTGGAAAATCAGTAGATTTATTAAACAATTGTCCTATATTAATTGTTTTCATAAACATATCAGTTAATTGTTCTTGTTCTCCATATTTAAAAACACAGTCAATAATAAAACTAAATGCTGCTTCTCTAACTTCTGGATGTGTTTCAATTTTAAGATAATTAAATAAAAATTTTTCTATTAATTAATTTTTTTCTTTTTAAATGTTATATAAACCAATTTTATTCTTTATAACAAACGATATAAATCAAAAACAGTTAGTTCATTTAATTGATAAATACTTGTCATTATATTTAATATTTTTATATGGTTAATTGCATCTTTCACTGATACGGATATTTTCCCTTTCTTTGTATGATTTTGAACATATTGTGTTATTTCTATTATAAATCCAGCAAATCCTTGTTTATCACGTTTAATAAATAAATAAAACTCATCTGGATTCATCTTTTCACTTAATGTAATACATGCTTTTATTCTATTTGAAACACTTTCTTTATTATCATATAATTGTGTTTGTTTTTTACGTATTTTTTTATCTAATTCAGTGCTCATCGAAGATTGAACTATCTATTTAGTATTAATAAGTTCTATTTATTTTTAAAAATATATTAGAATAACTTTTTATTTTAGATTTTTTTTTTATTTTTACACTACTACATTTTTCCTCTAACTTTTTATTTCATTTTTAGGTTTAATCTTTTTTCATATATTTTTAAATTTTTTTATCCTCTTATCTTTTTCCATCTATTTTTAAATTTCATATCCTTTTTTTTTCTCAAGACGAAAAGAATGTAAGGTGATATAAAAAACTATTTTTATTTTTGTAAATTTAACCACCCCCATTGGGGATGTTAATATCAACGTTGTTGGTTCAGTTTTCACAAAAATGAATTGATACCAAAAAATTCCTTAATAATGCGGATTTAAAATTGATGATAATTTGTTTCAACTCCAACGAGATCTACTGTATCTGAACTCACCGAAAACAAATCAGGACCATAACCTGGAATAGACTTATATTTTGAGGATGTCATTTTTCTTCGGAAATAAATAAAGATAACTCCACAGAGAAGAATAAGAATAATACCAAATACCCCAACTATATACTTTGCCTTAGACGTTGAATTAACAACAGTATTTACTGATGTTTGACCAATAACCATTTCATTTAGTAAAAACAGAAAAACAAACATTTGATTAAAAAGATAAAAAATTCTTAAAAAAAAATTAAAAGAAAAAAAAAAGAACTTTATCTCTTAACTGTTCTATGGCTTCTCAAAAAGTTGATATTTTTGCTGGCTTGGAATATAATTCTTCACGTGCTCAAAAAAAACAAACTATTAATGTTTCTCAACATTCCCAACCTATTCAAAATAACCAATTTTCAAATACTGATATCTTATTCCAAACACAACCAAAAACTACAACTACTTCTAGTGATGATATCTTCAATTTGTTAAACTCTCCAACTAAAAAATCCCCTTCTCCATCTTCACAGTCTTTTGATTTTATTCAACAACCTTCCCCTTCTGGTAATACCCAAACAAAAAGTCCTTCTTTTGATTTTGAAAAACAAGCTCCAACTCCTTCAAAATCTCCTTCATCTTCTGTAGTATTTGATTTCCTTACAAATACATCACCTTCAAATAGTCCTTCTTTTAATTCTTCTCAAAAACAGTCTTCTTCAACTTCAAAAGTTGATTCAAATGACATATTTTCTGGTCTTTCTTATTCCTCATCAAAGAAACAACACAATTCAAATTCTCAATTACCTTCAAATACACATCCAACACCTTCAAATCCTTCTACATCATCTAATTCTAGTACACCAATAAATGGCAGTCTTTTTGAAACTCCTTCTCCAACTACATCAAATGACCTTTTTGATGTGTTATTAAAAAGTCCTTCTAGTAAATCACCTGCTCATGCACCAGAAACGGTAGATGAATTACTTACTTCCTCTAACTTAAATTCAAATGTTCATAACCAAAATGAAGAATCCACTACACAACCAATTACCCAAGAAGAAAAGAAAGATTCTGGAAATAGTAATATAATGGATTTCTTTGGAAGTTCTCAACCAACACCATCTACTCAACAAGAAAAGAAAGGTGATTTTTTGGATAATCTCATTGGTGGAGAAAAGAAAGAAGAGGAAGATACAAGCAAAATCGTTTATGGCAAACAAGAAAAACTTACTGTTGATATGGTTAATGAATGGGCTTGTGAAAAAGGAACTAGTCAAAGAAAGAATATTCGTTCATTATTAAAGAATTTAGATGAAATCTTATGGAATGACCAAAAATGGAGAAAATTAGGAATGTCTGACCTGTGTGATTTTGAGGGTGTACAAAAATGGTATAAAAAGGCAGTTATTTTAATTCATCCTGACAAAAATCAATTCAGAAGTGCTGACCAATTAGAATGTGCTCAAGTTCTTTTTGACCACGTAAGAATGTCTTATAACATTTTTAGAAAGACTGAACGAAAATAACTCATTATCTCTTTTTTTAAGACTTACTGTTTTTAATAACACTATTTTCAAATAAAAAACAAAATATAAATTAAAAAAAAGAGG